TTGGCAGAATTGGGGCTTAGCGCAACTTGTTAAGGAAATGAAAGTATGGAGAGACATTAATCCATGTAATGAGGAGAGTGGTAAAGAGAAAGGGATTTCCCTTTCTAAGGATAGATCAGACAAAGTCTTTAACACTGGTGCAAGGAAACACAGTTGTGTATATTGTGAAGACAGCAATCACAAGTCACGTGAGTGTACACGTGTTCCGATGTGAATGAGAGGAAGAAAATCCTAGCAACTAAACAGTTGTGTTTTAACTGCACAGGAGCACGACATTGAGCTTCTGAATGTAAAAGCACTTCTGGGTGTCAGCGGTGCAAGCAAAAACACCATACATCAATCTGTATGATGAAAGATAAGCTATTAGCTACTGAGCAAGGTAGCAAACCAGTCGTGTATCCAATAGTAAATGTTAACGTAGAGGGAATCGAGTGTCGTGCCCTATTGGATACCGGAGCCGGAAGCTCTTATGCTTTAGCAGCCCTGTTAGACCGACTTCCAAAACGGTCACAATCAAAGGAAGTACGTAAAATTAAGATGATGCTTGGCTCCACAACTCGTGAAGTTAGTTTGTCCACAATCATGTTGCATCTGTTGACGGTGAAGAGAAATTACAAGTGGAAGTTACGAGAGTCGAACGGGGAAAACTGTTTACGATTGACAAACCACATTATTCAGAGATAATTCAGTCATTTAAGCATCTTGAAGGAGTCATCACGGTGGATAATGATCCCAAACCATTTTTGCCAGTCCACCTGATTCTCAGGGCGAGTGATTATGCAGCAATAAAGACGGCGGAACCACCACGTGTCGGTCAACTGGGAGAGCCTGTGGCAGAGAGAACTAAGTTCGGGTGGACTATGTCTTCAGGGAAGGAGTTGGATCATTCGAAGATGTTGTTAACCCAGACTAGCCATACCGACTGTGAGGATTTGTGTCGACTAGATATACTTGGCCTGGAAGATAGACCCGAGCACGATCAACAGACGGTGCATGCTGAGTTCCGTGAACAGCTTATACGTGATCCAGAGGGATGGTATGAAACCGGATTATTGTGGAAGAACCACCCACCATTACCTAGCAACAAGGAAGGCAGCCTACGCCGACTTGATCGCTTATATAACAAATTAGAGAAAATGAAGTCACTCGTGAATACAATAAGGTAATCGAACAACAAAAAGAGGGGGGAATAGTGGAGTTGGCCGATGAACTCCCCACATCCAAGGATGAACTCCCCACAAACCTGATGTGCGAACAGGCGCAGAATCAACAAAGCTTCGTGTGGTGTATGATGGATCTGCTCGAGAAAATCCAGAATCCCCTAGTCTCAACGAGTGTTTATATGCCGGACCTCCGCTCCAGAACAAGCTGTGGAACGTCCTGACACGAATGCGGTTTCATCCAGTTGCATTGTCTGGCGACCTGAAACAAGCCTTTCTATAAGTGAGGATTAAGAAAGAGGAAAGAGATTCCCTGAGATTCTTCTGGAAGCCAAATGAACATTCTTTAACAGAAACACTCAGATTTACAAGAGCACTTTTTGGCTTAACCTGTTCACCCTTCCTCCTTGCAGCAGTCGTAGAACATCACCTGGAAGTTGGGAAGCCCAAGAACCAGAGCTAGTTGCTAACATACGACGAAGTCTTTATGTTGATCATCTGTTAAGTGGGAAACCAACAGTTGCCAGTGCAATGGAGCTGAAGGAAGGTGCCATAAAGATCTTCGAAGATACCAAGTTTACCTTGCATAAATGGCACTCGAACGAACCAGAGCTAAAAGATAACAAACTGAAACCTGAATGCGAAAAGAGTGAAGTGAAACCGGAACGGGACATGAACGAAGTGGAAGCTGAACCTGATCAAACCTTTGCAAAACAGCAGCTAACCAGATTTAACCAGTCCTAATCAAGCCTGCTTGGTCTAACGTGGAACAAGCAAGAAGATGAAATCAGCATAGTGATTCCAAAAATGGAAACATCTGTAACGAAGAAAGAACTGTTGCGAAATCTTGCGAGAATATATGACCCACTTGGACTAGTTTCGCCTGTCACTCTCAAAGGGAAGCATATCTACCGTGAGGCTTGTAAGCAGAAAGTACCATGGGATGTGAAGATTTCAGAACCACTATCTGGTGAATACCTACAATGGGTGAAAGAACTCCCTGAACAAGTGACTGTCCCTAGATCCATAGCAGTTCATCAGGAAATCGTAGAAAAAGTCGAGCTATATGCATTCGGTGACGCAAGCAAAAAGGGAGTTTCTGCTGCGGTATATGCCATTACGAAGCAAGAGTCGGGTGTTAACGTTGGTTTAGTTGCTGCTAAAGCACGGTTAGCAAAACACTGAAAACAGGATCTTACCATACCTCGGTTGGAACTTGTGTCTGCTCACATGGCCGCGAATCTTGTATCCAATGTCCAACAAGCAATTGATTATGTCCCAGTGATAAGTGTATTCGGTTGGCTTGATAGCACAGTTGCATTACAGTGGTTACGAGGTGGTGGACAGTATAAACAATGTGTAGCAAACCGGGTCAAGAAGATCCAAGAGCATCCTGAAATCACCTGGCGCCATGTACCTACAAATGATAACCGAGCGGACCTGGGAAGCAGAAGAGGCAGAGTATCGGGAAATCGCGTTTGATGGAACGGCCCAGAATGGTTGGTGAACCCAGAACAATGGCCTCCAGATATCGTTACGACAGCCACTCCCGAAAGCGAGTCTGAAGCAAAAGCAGTGAAAGATCTCTTCAGTGCAGCCGTGGTTTCGAGAGATGAGTTTGGCGACCTTCTCGAAAAGTTTTCATTGACGAAAGCCATCAGAGTTATCGCTTGGGTGCATCAATTCGTGTTCAACTGCAGAGCCGGAAAAGAAAACCGTCACAAAGACCGTTAATAACTGAAGAAATCAACAACGAACACGCGTTCTGGGTAAAACGAGGGGATGGAGTGATGTATTGTAACGGTCGATTGCAAAGAGAATACCCAATATATCTACCCGATGACCATCTCTACACCAAAAAGTTGGTCCAAGATGCTCACGAGCGCACCTTACACGGGGGAGTTGGTTTGATTATGACAAAAATTAGAGAGCGATATTGGGTACCTAGGCTGAGACAGTTGGTGAAGAAAGTAATGAAGAAATGTTTCGGGTGTCGACGATTCCACGCCAAACGAGTCGCAAGACCACCACCAGTGGGAAACTTACCGCGAGATCGTACCCAAGGTACCGTCCATTCCAAATCGTGGATTTTGCTGGACCGATAAATATCGTGTGACAAAGAAAACACAAGGGAAAGCGTATGTGACTTTGTTCGCGTGTAGTCTGTGTCGAGCAATCTACTTGGAGCTGACGAAAACGATGGAAACCGGTGAATTTCTGCAAACACTTAAACGGCTCATAGCAAGGGAGACCTGAAAAGATTTACTCGGATAACGCAGGAACGTTTGCAGCTGCATCAACATGGTTAAAGAATGTACAATCTGATGAGCAATTCCGCAACCAATGGACAACTTGCATGTTAGACTAAATTTTATTCTAAGCAGAGAGAAGGGAATCAAACACCACAGCTAAAAAGAACATAGTGAAATTGGTAAAATTGCAAAATTTGGTTGCGAAATGTTGTAAAGCTTGGAAAATATAGCTTTGCAAAGTTTGCATATTTT